GATTGTTGCTGTTGGCCGCTTTCTTTGCTCCGGGGAAGGGCAGTGGTGCAACTCAACATTTGATGTACATGTCTCCTTAAAGGCTAGAGTAAAAAATACATGAATGGAGTCATAACTGAAATTTGAAACTGCACACGTCCTGTCTGCAGTGGTGCCGCAGCGAGGCGGACGTGCTGCGGGCCGCGGCCGCGCACCAGGAGCTGCTCGCCGCCAGCGCGGCCGCGTCCCGCCACGCCAACGGCGTGCTGCTGCCCATGGTGGCCGGCTACCTGTCCGTGTCGCTGTTCGGCACCTACAACCTGGCGGCGGGCAACCTCGACCCCTACACCACCGTCGTCGTCCCCGCCTCGCTCATCTTCTTCTTCTTCATCGCCGTGATCGGCGAGGGCCTGGACTCGTCGCTGCAGCGCGTGGCCGAGCAGGCGGCGCTGGTGGACGTGTGCTGGCTGGGGGCTGCCCGCGGCGGCGAGCACCTCGGCGGCGAGCACCTCGGCGGCGAGCGCCTCGGCGGCGAGCACCTCGGCGGCGAGCACCTCGGCGGCGAGCACCTCGGCGGCGAGCACCTCGACGGGGTGCCGGCGCGCGCCGCCCCCGCGCTCGTGCTCATGTCGCGCTGCGGCTGGCGCCTGTGCGACACCTCCTCGCTCCGCATCGCCTGGCTCGGCCCGCTGCGGCTGTCCTCCTTCGTGCGCGTCATGCGCCGCTGGTACTCGGCGCTGCAGATGATGCGCAACGTGCGCTCCTGAGCGAGCTGCCAGCTGGCCGATACCCAAACATTCGCAGAAAATCAAAAGATTTGTCAGTGATGCCGAATTTGATCTGTAGCGAACGCCCCTGAGCCCGGTCTTGCTGGTGCTTTAAAGCAGCGTACAGTTCATCGCGCCCGTGTGTGTGGGAGGGGGGGAGGTCACCCTGCGAAACCACGGACGCATACCAGCACTAGCTCGGGGCGCAGGGGATGGTCCGGTCACGGACTGACGTCCCACCCGAGTTACGGGTGATGTGGAGTTCATGTGGACTTCCGAACGCCTCAACCCTTTCTTGAACTTGTATGTGTGAACAGATCATACACGATCAGTCGACAGTCGGAATGAAGCAGCAGTGTTCATCTCCGTGACCTTTGCAGTTCGTTATCACAGAGGAAAAGGTTGTACGTAAAATTACCTAAATTTGGGTACGGGAGCGAATGTCAAGGTTGCACGACAATCGTCTGGAGGTTTTCACCTCCACACCCATACTTTAGGTATTTCAATGAGAGGGTTTTGGTTGGTGGTTTGGTTGGTGGTCAACGTAACAAGATTGTTGAGAGACGTTCTGTTTCTGCCACCCATGATACGATTTGAGACTGAGACCTATGTTTTTTGCCGTGTGGCAATGGTGACGGTCAGTAGGTCAGCTATCAGCTATCTTTTGTGTGTCCTGCCAGGATCTTCAACTTGTCCTCTTCATCGTCATACTTTTGTAATAAAGATCAGCACTTATCTCGAACATCTGTGGTGGTGATGGTCGCACAGAGCTGATATTTCAACAAGATGGGGTGAATGATGTCAGCAAGAAGGCATTTTATTCGCAATACAGGCGCGGAATTTTAAGAATTGTTATGTGCACCGAATAACATGAAAAACAAATTGTTTGGAAGTTGGAAAGTGTTTCCCAGCGGCAGCTCAATGCAACGCGCAGTGGCACCCCGAACCGAGTTGCATAGCTTGCATGCATAGCTTAAGGGAAATTTCACTTTACCCCTCAAAACGGCTGGCTAAGAAATTCGGGGACTGCGACGCGGATTTGCATGCTACATTCACGTGAGATAGGATTGGCATGCTGTCTCTAACCGATAAGCAACATGCAGCTAATCCATGTCTGTAAGCAGAAGGCCACGGGGGGGGGACACAGCACCATTGACTGTCGTCTTCGCCTCTGTGAGAGAGTCTCGGTGCCCCCGACACGGAGTATGCTCGTCGTATGGGTGTTATTGACTCTCGGGCAGTGAGGGTGTTCGGTCGCGAGCGCGGACAAGAAGAAGACAGCGCTCCGGGCGGTGCGGCCGACGCGCCCGCAGCATGGAGGCGGACACTACGGGCAGCGTACAGGTAGGTCATGTCATGGTCATAATGCTCAGGCCTCGAAAGACCTCTTAGCTGTGGCCGAGCGGGTGGAACTTGCATCTATGCGGGCAGGCGGGCTTGCCTAAACCGCGGCTCACCGTGGCGCCTTAAGGTCATGCGGTCATCCCCTATACCTGTAAATGTTAATTTTTTCCAACGATTCCAGCTACTAGAGTATGCTATTTTTCGATGAAGCCATTTCACCCCAAGCAGCATGCTCACCTCGACTCCCGTTTTTCCACCTCTGTGCTGCCTAACTCTGAGAATTGTAACCTGTGCCCGCTTAACTTGATACCATCGTGTCGTCACAGGGGGGGCGAGGCCAGCAGGGCTACCCCGGCGGCAAAGACGAGCTCACTTCCAAAGGGAAGGCGACGGCAGAGCTGGAGGCCGCCGCCGACACCAGCCAAAAGGAGCTGCGGTACCCCCGGGCGGTGTTCCTGGTCATCCTGAACGAGTTCTGCGAGCGGTTCTCATTCTATGGCCTCCGAGGTAAGATCTCCGCAGGAGATCGCCGTCGATTCGATCGACACAGGTACTCACTTGCGTCCTCTTGACGACAGCGGTGCTCGTCCTCTTCCTCAAGGACAAGTTGGGCCTGACCGAGGACAACTCCACGGTCGTGTTCCACTCCTTCAACATGGTTTGCTATCTCTTCCCGGTCTTCGGTGGCATCGTGTCGGACTCGTATCTCGGAAAGTTTAGGTACGGGCAAGAGCAGAGCCCCAGCAAGATTCCATTCTCTCATTTGCGTCATTTTAGCGAGACACTAACTCTGTTCTTCTTGTTCCAGGACCATTCTAATCTTGTCCCTCGTGTACTCGGTAGGCAATGTGATGCTGTCCCTGGCGTCGTGGCGAACACTCGGCTTGCCTGGTTTGTACGTTCGGTCACCCTCCGCCCCGTCACGAGCGTACTCGACGTGTCCGGATGGTGACGCCGGTCTTTGTTCGGCAGGGCGACGACGTGCGTGGGGCTGTTCCTGATCGGCGTGGGCACGGGCGGGATCAAGCCGTGCGTGTCCTCGTTCGGCGGCGACCAGTTCGTGCTGCCGCAGCAGCAGCGCCAGCTGGAGCAGTTCTTCAGCATCTTCTACTTCATCATCAACGCGGGCGGCTCGCTCGCCATCCTGGTCACGCCCATGATGCGCGTCCGGCCGTGCCTGGGCGAGGACACCTGCTACCCGCTGTGCTTCGGCACGCCCGCGCTGCTCATGGTCTTCTTCTGCAGCGTGTTCGTGGCGGGCCGGCCGCTGTACGCCATGAAGGACCCCGAGGGCAACGTGCTGCTGCGGGTGGCGCGGTGCGTGGGCGGCGCGGGCTGGCGGCGCCTGCGCCACGGCCCCCGCCCGGACGGCGGGCACTGGCTGGACGCCGCGGTGCCGCGCTGGGGGGACGCCCTAGTGGCCGACGTCAAGGTGCTGCTCAGCCTCCTCGTCATGGCCGTGCCGCTGCCCGTCTTCTGGGCGCTCTTCGACATGCAAGGCTCGCGCTGGACGTTCCAGGTAGGCGCGGTTGTTTAGGGGTCCGCTACGGCAAAGTGTGTGCCAAAACGTCTTCGAAACGGCGATGATTTTGCGTTGTTGTGGTAACATTTTTGACATAGTGGACTCTCGCTAACTGTCACCGCAACAGGTAGCGAGGGTACTGTGCGTTTGCTGCTGCACTGAGAATTTTTTTTCCTGACGGGCACTAGACGGTTGTTTAGTGCGTCCTACTTTGTTCCTGGCACAATAAATTTAGTTCCCGCCACTAAAATTACTGTGCGTGGCAACAACATTTTAAAGCTCGGCAACAAAACTTTGGTGCCCAGGCACAACTGTATAGTGCGTCAAAAACTTTCGGTCTCGGAACAAAATGTTTTGTGCTCATGACCAAAAAAAAAAATTCTCAGTGTGTCGTACTCCGTTCTCCCCACTCCTCCGCCACCGGTAGAGGAGTCGGGCGAACCGCCGCCGGAGCAGGCAGTTAGCCCGCATGAAACGCGCTATTTTTCTATAACTGACCCCCCCCCCCCCCCCGGGCCTGGTCGGTCAGTTGTTCCCACTAACGCGATGCACCCGCAGGCGCGGCAGCTGGACGGCCAGGTGGGCAGCTGGCTGGTGCAGCCGGACCAGATCGGGCTGTCGGGCGGGGTGATGGTGCTCATCATGCTGCCCATGTTCGAGGCGTGGCTCCATCCGTGGCTGGCGCGCTTCGGCGTGCTCGTCACCCCACTGCAGAGGATGAGCGTCGGCGGCCTCATGGCGGCGGCAGCCTACGTGTGCGCCGCCGTCCTGGAGATGCAGGTCCAGCAGCAGGGCGCGGGCCAGGTGGGTGAACCTGCTGAGCGCGGGCGGGCCTCTCTTCTCAGCGCGTGTTTCATTGGTCGCAAATTATTATTCGAGATAAATCAATTGCAGATACACATATTCTGGCAACTACCGCAGTACTTCTTCATCGCCCTAGCCGACATCTGGTTCGCGATCGCAGTGCTGGAGTTTGGCTACAAAGAGGTGTGCCTATGCCTAACAATCTTGCCCTACGCGTTCGCACGTCTGCCCGCAGTGCATGCCTGACTACCCGCTTCACTTCCAGGCTCCCGTCAGCATGAAGTCCTCCATCACGGCCCTCTTCCTGCTGACGACCGCCGTCGGGGACATCATCGTCATCGTCATCACGTCGTCGGAGGTTTTCTCAGACCGGGTAAGTGTTGTGTGGGGTGCGTGTGCGTACGCGCGCGCGCGCGCGCGTGTGTGTGTGTGTGTGTGTGTGTGAGAGAGAGAGAGGGAGAGAGAGAGTAAGTGAGAGCGTGACGCTCTCTTGTTAAGCCCGAGACTTTACACTACCAGCGATCAGCAGCAGCGCGGCCGCTAGGCTGGCAGCCAGCAGGCCTGGGGGGCACGATGGGTTGCCCACCCGCTCGGCAGCAGGGGCGCGCGCCGCTGCGTTTCTGCTCGGGAGCCCCCCCCCCCCCCCCCCCCCTCTCCCCCTTATTAACGCCCCCCCCCTCCCCGCACTGTTGCAGGTCGTCGAGTTCTTCACCTACGCCAGCCTGATGGCGGTCGTCATGTGTGTGTTCATGTTCCTGGCCTGGCGGTACAAGTACGTGGGCCAGCCCAACAGGCCGGTGAAGGGCGCCGACGACGATGGGGTTAGGAAGGACGCCGCGGTAACAAAAACAGACACTCGTGATCCACAGAAGAACAGATGAAAAAGAAACAGCAGCGTAATGTAAGGAGTCAGAGTCTCTGTGCGGCCACGGCCTGGTGGCCCTGGTGGCCCTGCTGGCCCTGGTGGCCGCGCCGTGGTCGCCGTGGTGGCCGCGCCCCCGTCGCCCTGGTGGACGCGCCGCCAGCCGCTACGGACACGGGGCAGGCTGACACGTCTGCGTGCTCGGGTAGCAGATCTCGCAGCGCACAGAGTACGTCCCGGGCAGGCACTCGTACGCCGCGAACAGCCCGCTGCTATCTAGAACACACAGCAAATTTGCGGCGCGTATTTTTTGTTTTATTTTAGTTTTTGCGCGCTGTTTATGAGTTTGTATGTGATTTGGCGTGAGGGCAGACTCACGGTATGGGTCGTTGTCTTTAAAGCTGAACAGCCTGTTGGCGATCACATCCTTGTCACAGGCGCACTCCCTCATGGTGGACGTGATGGAGTGCACGTAGCCAAACTCGTCGCAGAAGTCAATAATGATGTTTGGCCTGCAAAGCAGAATTGTAAATGTGTGTACGTATACGCATAACGATAACGTAATACTATCCATCTAACGATTAAACCATTATTTATAACCCGCCCTTCTGCTTTAAAAAAACATTAAAGCGGGCGTATGCAACCGCTCTCGTGTCCGTCTGACTGACTGTCTCTGTCTGTCTGTCGTCTGTGTAAATGGGAGGAGATGAGCTAAAGGTCTACAAATTTCAGGGTATCTTAGGGGTCACTCCTGTACAACAAACGACTGGTGCAAATCCTGGCCTAAGGGGGTGGAACGGGGTAGCAAAGAAATAGGAGGAGTTGGTCCACAAAGTAGGATTTTTTTATGGTGCCCTAAGGGGTAACACGTGAATCTAGGTTCTTTAGGGGTAAATTTTTTTCCGTTTTGCTCTATTTTGCACCGTCTGCGGGCGCTAGAGTGGTTGTTTCGACGAACATACGGTGAAAACGACCACGCTGTACATAAAGACGTACAAGGGGGCGTCAAATCGTAAAATGACAGAGGCAGGCCAAAGACCGAAGGCCGCACGCCCGGAAGCCTTACTTTAGTCCAATATGTATGGTGACTTAAAGGTCGGGCCACGACAGGCCAGGCCCCCCGACCCCTGCCGAACGGAGTTGCCTGCGGAGCGAACACCCAGAGAACCATTTAGTTGATACAAATTCAGTTCCTAAAACCGACTAAAATTCAGTAACCCCATTTTTAACTAGGTATGGTCGCACCAATCAAATTAAGTCAGCTCGTCTAAATTATTTCGTCACCACGGATAAATTTTGGTCTCCGGAGCTATAATTTTGTCGGTTTTGAATTTCGTTCCCTGGACTAATCATCGATCATCTGGGTGAAGTGCAGCTGGCAACTTCCATTAGCGGAAGGGCGGGCTTGTTTTCGCTACCACTCGCCACATTTCTTCAATCAGCTCACGAAACGCTCGTCTGTTTAGCAAACCGTCGATAAGGACAAGAGTCGGTGCTGCCTTAATCCTATCAACAGCCTGACTCGCAGGCTGCCGGTGGGACGGGCTCGGGCAGATAAAGTGGGGGGTATATTCCCTGCGTTCCACCCACAGGCACGGCTGCGCGATATCCAGGTTTTTATATCGATATAGGATATCGATAACGAACATCGACCCGATAGATCAACCCAACAGTGCGAGGAAAAACACCAAGAGTAGGCTATAGCAAAATAATAATACATTGCAAATTTTCGTGGTATTGAGGGGTATCGGCGATATCCGTCGAGGCCTCTATACGCCGATATCAGTCCCAAGAGCATATTAAGGCTTCGTTATCGAGATTATATTTTTTAGTCCCCAAGTCCCCAAGACTGCCTCTACTAGAAGGTGAAGTGGCCCCCCCCCCCCCCTCCCCATCCTAACCATCTTCCATATATTGGATTTCGATATCGAAACCCCAGGATGTCGCCCTGCCCTACTTGTAGGGTGGAGAGGCCTGGCGGCCCAGCACCGTCCCGTTGTGCCCGCTGTGCTCCTCGTGCGCCTCCGCGGACGCGGACGCCGGAGTGGACGCCGGGGTGGACGCCAGGGTGGCCGCGCCCGCCGCCAGCGCCATCCTGGAGGCTCCTATTCGGCCTCCCAGCCCCTGCGGACAGGAGAAATTCAAACGCTGTGCGTCGCCTAGGAGTGGCCGTGGGAGAGGACGCGATAGTGTTTAGTCCTTCCGTACCACCGTGGAGGGCAACACGAAGCTGGTGTTGAAGGGCTCTGCCTCGGCCAGCGCGGCGGGCGCGGCGGGCGCGGCAGAGCTGTGTTCGTGCTCGGCCGACCGCTTCGCCCTGCCGGGGCTCACGTTGCCGTCGAGCCCTGCAACGAGGTCGGCAAGAGGGGGTTGTAGTTAGTACTTTCCGATTTTAGACCGTTAGCAAAACCTTCTCATCGTCTCCCATGTATAGCACCAGAGCGCTCGTTTTTGTTTTCGGAATTTTTTTTTTCAGAAACATCGGAATATTTAAAAAAAAATGGAAACAGATAAAACCTGTCAAGAATAATTGAAGGGATTCTTTTAATATTTTTAAAAAAATCCTAAAAAATACTTGTTTGGGAAAATCTAAATCCCTCGCCGATTGCGCGGGGTCGCTCGCACTTACCGCCCGCCGTCCTGCCCTCCGGGACCACGCACTCCCACCGATGCCGGCCCTTGTGCATGACGCAGGTGCACAGCCAGGGCGCCTGCACAGCGTACGTCCGCTGCCCCGGCAGGCACAGCTCGGGGAAGTGCCCTGCCTGTTTCTTCGCGTCCGTGGGACCGTCCTCCTTGCTGCTGTCTATGATGAGGCGCCCGCTGGCTGCGCATCCACACACGGAAAACAATTAGACTGTTGAGTTCAAAGTGCGCCAACCTCACCCCTTCGGTTGGAGTTCATTATGAAATACGCGCCATCGGAATTCATTCATATTCATATCAATTCCGTCGCGGATTCCAATGAAAGTGGGTCACAAGTTCACCGACGTCTTTCATCGGAACTCACGCCGTCGTAGCTTATAGAAGTTTCAACGAGAAAAAAAAAATACACCGCAAAGGAGCCCTTTTTTCCCCCTCTTCTGACACACAGAAGGTCGGGGTCAGCGCCCGCTCGCGGTCGGGTAGGCTCGACGCACGGTGGTGCTGCGCGGCGGGTCAGCAGCGTCAGCCCCCTCACCTCGGCTCCGCGACTCACCCGAGGAGAGGTGCGCCTTGCAGAACTTGTTGATGTTGATGCGGCGCCCGCTGCGGTCGCACAGCAGCGTGTCCTTGGCCTCGTAGACCCACTGCTTCCCCAGCTCATAGCAGGGCTCGTCAAACACCTCGCCCAGCGCCGCCCCTGCACAGGCCGAGACCAGGGGTGAGTCAGGTGAGGAGAGCGGCGCGCGGAGGAGGTCGCAGCAGGGCTCTAGCGGCGGTCCCGCTGGAGGCCGCGTCGTCGCGGGCCGCGCTAGACGCCCCCGACCTCGGCGTCGTCCTGGGGCTCGTCCCCATGGCCGCACGCACGACAACCGGTACCTGCCAGAGCGAGGAGGAAGCAGTGCAGCCGACTCATGTCGCGCCGCGCACAGCCTGGACGGAACGCGGCGCGCCCCCGCCCCAGTACGACACGCGCTATAAACTGGACGGGCGGCCCGGCGATAGCGGCCAGCGCCCCGGCGGCGCCCGCGGGGGCAACCCAGCGCGCGGGCCAGCCTAGCGCACAGTGTGCGAGGGCTAGCGAGGCGCGCTCAACAACGGTCAGCGTTCGCTTTTATTGGAAACATTTTCAACAACAGCAACAACAAAATTACACTTGGCAACGTGGACGGTGGGCCTGCCATCGCGCGTCCTTCCCCTGGCGTCAGTGGCCCGCACCGTTGCACCCCGTCGTCGTCGTCGTCGTCGTCGTCGTCGTCGTCGTCGTCGTCGTCGTCGTCGTCGTCGTCGTCGTCGTCGTCGTCGTCGTCGTCGTCTACCTCAGGGGTCTCAAACTCGAGCTATCCGCCGAGCCTCGTCTGCATAGGCCACACGCATTACAAGCTCTTCGGCAAGAAGAGTGAGAGAGATAGATGTAGTGGTGCCTCAACGACTGACCCGTGCCCGGCCGCAACTGCTGTCGCCGCCGGCTTGCTTTGCTCGGCGCTCGGTCGCCGGCCAGTGTGTCTGTCTTTGTCACTCCCAATGGCGCCTCAATGAGTGAGACAAAGACAGACACACACACTGGGCTAGCGAGCGAGCGGCGTGTGTCGAGCGACAGACGACGGCGGCTGGGTCCAGCTCAGCTTCGAGCAACCCGAGCGCGGCTCTCGGAGGCTCGGATCGGCTCGGATCCACCCGAACGCAAGAGGTGCGCGGCTCTCGGCGAGCCGCGCTACCGGGCTAGGCGAGCCGCGCTTGGCTCGCGAGCCGCGAGTTTGAGACCCCTGGTCTACCTCATCCGAAGCACGGTGGAGTAGAGCGAGTAGGAGTGTCGCATGATCTGAGAGAGGGGCGGGCAAGTGAGTCGGCTCTTTCTGTGTGAAATACAATGAACCGCTTTTGGAAAAAAAAAATCGTTCAAACCATAAAAATGTTTCTACCAAATATTTTTGCTTTTCTTTGTAAGTAATAATAAATGTCTGCGGCGGAACAAAATTTTTTAGATTTGAATGGGTTTTTGATAGCTTTATAACACCGAAACTTGAAAATATCTGTAGATCTACGAACGAAACTACCGACTACAAAATGTCTTTGTTTGATAACAAACTAAGGCTTCATCACTCACGTCCTGGAACAGTTGTAGCGTGAGGTTGGTGAGGCGGCCCGCTGTGAGGAACAGGGGTCTCTGCGCGCGCAGGACGATCAAGTGTAGGATGCGTCCCAGCCGCGTATCCTTCCCGGACAGCGACGGGTGGAAGGACGAGTAGGTCGCCGAGGACAGCCGTGCTGACTAGGGGCGCGGGTTCAAGTGGTGTCAAGTGTCAAAGGTATATCACAATTCTTAGCAGTGACAAATGTTACCCTTCTTACCGCTTTAGCCACGAGGTCCCCGGAATAGCAGAAGGTGAACAGCTGAGTGAATGTAAACATCACGTAGACGATGCCGAAGGCGACGTCCTGCGGTAGCACCTCCTGCGTCTGTGGAGCCCAGGCAGAACATTGAATGTCACGTAGCAAGTGCCAGGCGGGGTGGGGTGGGACAACTCACCTTGTTCAGCATGCGAAAGAGCGGAGTGCCCAGGCCGAAGAGGACGTAGAACATCTGGCACAGGGCGACGGTGCAGAACATGGACTCGGAAGCGCTGTGCAGCCTGAAAGGACGGAGAGGTAGAACTGTGCGAACCGGGGCTTTTCAGTTCAATTCGAATCGAACCTTATAAAATTTTCTCCGATCAATTCTTTTGGTACACACCAATCTACAGGGTGGTCCACAGACCCCTTCCTTTATTTTGCTTATACTGTACCCCCTGCAGGCGTGCGGGCGGGCTTGCCTACCGTCGCTCACTACGGTGCCTTATGGCCCCGTGCGAGTATGCAACCCGGTCGCACGCCTGCATCCGGTACAGTATAAGCAAAATAAAGGAAGGGGTCTGTGGACCACCCTGTATACGTTTTATTTGCCTTTGTAAAAAATATGCAGTATTTGAAACAGTAACATCAAAATATCAGCCGGCAGTTGATATGCCTCCAACCATCAGAATTCTGTGACGGAGTATGCCCGATCCTTTCGTGACCAGTGAATCGATTCAGAGCAGATTCGATTCGATTTTGAACCATTATTCGCACAACACTTACAAGGAGTACCGGGTGTTGCATAAAAGACACAGGTGCGGGCGGGTTTGCCTACCCAAGGGGCTATGGCGCCTCACGGGCAGAGCGGGTAGGCAAACCCGCT